CTGTTTCTCCAGTTTGGGAAATCCTTTTTTTTGCCAATAATTGCAGAATCAATTCTTTTACTGAAGGATATTGAATTTTTGTTTAATCCAGTTATTGAGGCCATTGTTGAAGCAGATGATATATCAGATGAACAGAAAGCAAGAATATCCAAGAAATTGGCTGAAGCTGATAAGGTGCTTTTGATCCTTATGTTCATCAGTTGTTTTTGACCTCATGTTTTGGATTTCAAAACTGTAGTTTATCCTGCTCGTCAGTTGGGGCTCCAGCATCTTTTATTGGCTTTTTAAAAGCTTAATAAGTTTGCTCAATGCCTGTGCGGCAATGGCTTATTTATTGCTTGTGGATTTGCTGTGCCTTGTTGATGGTGATGAATATTTGCAGCTTCTTGACGTGGCCGGCAATACAATTCGAGCTTGTTGTAACATGCCAGAGGGATTTTCTTTCGAGGGCTAGGTAGGAATGTAAAATCATCCGCATGCAGCTTGTTAAATCTTTCAAGGGTCATTTTTTAAATTCTTCTTGTAGTAAATTTGAAATTTAAAAAACGAAGATTAATTGCACTCCGAGTAGCTCATTGAGATTTAGTTTTCTATCGGTAATGATAGATCTACAGTGGCCTATTTTATTTTATTTTTTTTTTATTTTTTTTTTTGGTGTGTAAACTCGAGTCTACTAGAATTCACACTATGTAATGGTGGCAAGTTCAAAGTCTCGGGTTTGCGGAAACTTACAATTGTGTATGTAATCTGTGTCTATAACACGCTTCAAATAGCTTCGAGGTCTTGTTACCTGTGTACTTATGAACATCTGTAAGGAAAAAGAAAAACAAGAGATTCCTGTATTCATACCTCGGTTTGTAGTTTCAAGCCTCATCATTATATTCCTTTTCCTCAAAACTCTCATTTTTTGCTGGCTGTGTTAAATTTGAGAGAGTATTATGCAGATGATACTTTCATTTGAGCTTCCATTGGCTTTGATCCCATTCCTCAAGTTTAGCAGCAGCAGCACCAAGATGGGTCCTCACAAAGAATTCTCTAATTGTGAGCTGTTTTTCTTTCGCTTTCACCTTTATATGATCCAGTGAGCATCAAAATCAAAATTGAATGAAGGGTGTCAAGACTTGTGTGCAGATCGTGGTCATATCATAGATTCTCGGGATAGGGATTATCGAAATCAATCTGTATTACCTAAGTACAGGGTCGGCTAATTCATAACAGTCTACCAAGGTTGCAATTGTGTTCAGTGGGATCGTAGTTTTTCTTTCAATGGCAATATACATTGTAGCGGTGATTTACCTACTCGCAAGAAAAGACACTATAAACACGTATATCGAGACGAAGAACGACTTCACAGTACAGACCCAGGTGGAAAAGGGGTTCATGAATTCTAATAGGCAATTGGAGTCGGGTCCTGTTCCCTACAGAGGGATTGAGCCGACATATTTCCAGAATATGGGACTCCTAATATGATTATTGCCTTTGGACGGCAAGTATCTGTAATTTCTTGTGGTTCTCCGTCTGTGACTTGAGATGTACTGAAACGGAATGATAACTTTCTATATTGATTCCTTCTATTCTGCTGTTATAGTAGTTACAAAGTCATAATGCTCAAATGATAATATCCATGATAAGGAGCTTGTAACTCCCATACAATGGCCATAATAAGTAGCTTATAATACCTGTAACCTCCCCTTTGTGTTTAATATATTGCTTAAAATTTTAGATAAAACTAGCCTTATATGATTGGTATAAATAGGCTACCTATTGTCAACTTTATTAATCAAGAGAATAATATAACGCTCTTACCAAGGTGAGAGGGTATTCTTTTTTTGTTTTTTGTTTTTCCTTGTCCTTCAACTCCTGAGCCATGTAGTGTAGTTTCAAGATTCAAATTGCACTAATGTTTCGTTTCGTTATAAAAAGAAATGAAATAGATTGAGCAAATTAAGATAAAAATAAATTAAATTTTTTCTCTCCATAGTAAAACTTATTAATATATATTACATATGTAAAATCATTTATACCCTTCAAATATTTTATGAATCATGATTTTTAATCTCATGAATTAAATTATTCTTTCTTCTTATAATTTACTTATATATATTTTTTTATCATTTTATTTTTTATATTTTTTTTTAATATATTTCATTCCATTTCTTTTTAGTAAGTAAACGGAACTTAAGTTTTCAGATATTCTTGGATGCAGAAGACAAATATTTGGCATACTGATCTCTGGTGAAGATCATAAATTTATAAATAAATTCTGAAAACTTAAAACCCGAGTAAGTTAAGGGCATTATCACAGGTGAAGATCATCACATTCGGGAAGCATATATTTCTTCGAAGTAATACAATCCAAAACATGGAATGCATCAAGGCAAAGAACTTTTGCAGGCTGTACTTGTTGGCCGTTGCCGGACAGACCCTGTCCCTGAGATGCTAGGTTGTGAGGGTCTGAGGGAGGAAGAAGCAAACATCTGATGCCTACAACCGCCATTATTGTTAGTAATGAACAATGTAACTATTTTCTTCTAACCCCATTCTAGTGATTTATTAAAGGATTTAATTGTGCATATTAATCCAATACTTTGATGTGGCATGTCATTTTTCTCCTTGATGATTGTTGAATCATCCAGCTCAGCTACTATTTCCATCTCAGTAGGTGATGCCAAGTTATAATCTATTCATGTGAAATTTGTTAACGATTGCATATTATGAACATGCGCATAAATATCTCTTCTGGCGCATCAAATATGGAATGAGAATAAAGTGAAAATTTTGATCTCTATTACTGATGAATGGACATAAACTATTAAAGAGTAGAGACAAAGGTAAATCCAACTCTTTCACCAAAAGTAAATACCAATTTGAAAAACAAATTCTTCTCGGTGGAGAAGACAATGTTGCTCGTCTGTATGGAGAATTGGAGACTTGAAATTCTCGTATTTTGGGATAATCAAAACCCTAATCCAAATGCGAGAGATAAATAGAATCACAGTCTCTCTGTAGTGCACATCATATCATGTATTAACAAGGCAAGTGCGTGATTGAGGATAGAGCATTCCCTTGAATCCAGATATGCAATGATATTCATTCATGACAATGTGACTGTGTCCAGAGAAATCCTAAGGGGGTCTCCTGTTTCTTCTTCAAACAGAACTAGTAGGTTTCCAGAAGGTTTCAGGAGGGATCGAGGGATATGGTACCTGAACAGATTTTCCCCCAAATTGTGGAGTTTTGTAAGCAAATGTCAAACATCAGTCAATGATACATACCTCAAAACAAAATGAAAAAGTGACAGAGGAACCTACCATCTCTGTGAAGGATTCCCTTTCGGCGTGACGAATGATACCCAATAACGGCCAATACTCTCCCCATTAACCCAAACTTCACCCTTCCCCATAGAACCAAGATCAAGTGCTATCGGATTATTTCCTGGTGGTGCATCAAATGTGGTCTGCAAAAATTTTTTTACTTGTAACTGGTAATTTCGATTGTCCAAATGTGAATGACAGTGGCACACTATCACTATAAAGTGTTCATGGAATACAATAAAAATTTGTCACCAATAGAAGGCGAATGGAAGAAGAAAAAGGCAATGACAGCCTCAAGCACAAAGTACTAGAAGAGAAATTGTAGCTATTTGGATTCCTGTAAGGTTTTCTATGCACGATGGATTTACTAATTTGAACTAAATGCTTTTAAAGTACTCTTACCTTATACCACCCCAGTGGATTTGTTGACCTTCCGAGCCTTTTCCACTGAACTTTACTTGATCCAGTAACTGTATAGATTTGCAACTTTTCTCCTAATAACCCAACCTTCATTCAAAACTTAAACGTAAGCACGTAATGAAACAAAATTACCCACAAATGTACTAGAGAAACGCATGCACGCGCAAACATCACGGTTTCTAATTAAGAAATAAAGATGGATATTCTTTTCCCTGCAGTCTGCTAAATTATCGTGTTTTTTAGCTTCAGATTTAATCACCTGATATCCCCAGGTATGATGATTAAAATCTCTATCACCAACTCTGACACTGCGCAATCCAGCAACTTTGCGCTCTAGGTGTGCTCCAGAATCCTTAATGTAAAAATATAATGAATATGTCATGTTATTCATTAGCTTTCTTTATCTCTGTTGTCAAGTCTTAATTTTGCATGTTAATCCAATGTATATCATTTATACATATATATATATATATATTGCTTGTTGATAATGAATGAAAAGGAACTGTTGAAAACAAGGACACTAGTACCGGCAATCCAACTGTTGCACTGAGGAAGGAAATATGGTTGACTCCTTTTCTCAATTTGATATTGCGGTTCATGGTGAAAGATACATTGTTGTGAATTCCATGTGCAGAACCTAGAATTGAGAGGAGGAAAGATACAGCAACATACACTGTTGTGAAAATGAAAGAAATGTGTGATCTAATGAATCATTGCTTGTGGCATGTTATCTTCAGCAAATGTCGATTTTAATTGCAATTCACATGTTACCCTGAAATTACAACTTCCTATGCTATGGTTTACACAATCCATAATTGTCCATTCTCATAAAAAAAGATTTATATTTGATGTGATCATCGTTTGATCAATTTTATGTTGTCAATCTATGAAAAGACTTGGAGATTTAGAGCTTGCCTGCTAGAACTCCATTGACGAATGCATGCAAGATATGTCCATGGCTAGATGCACTGAGAGAAACGATTGAGAATTTGAATGACGACGAAACTGGGTGAGTAAGATTGATAGCAAGCATATTAGTGTATAAACAAAACTTAGTTAAGGCAACAAACGTCATAAATGAAGTTGATGCTGATTACTTGTGTTTCTGATTACCTGAAAATATACCACAAATAGTCAGATTTATCTTTTGCCGTGCTGATCTGATCTAATAGCCTGTTTGCTCTTAAGGTAGTGTGAACGATGCTAGGAATGGCTTCTTTGTACACTTCCCATTGTTCAGCTGATTTAAAATGTACTACAGGTTTCATTGTTCTGGTACTGTATTTTGCATTTACCTACAATAGCTGCTCATAAGTAAGAAGTTCCTTTTTTCCTGGTTGAAGCGTTTTTAAAATTTCAAACATTCATGTTCTGAGCATTTGGTTCTACTTTGGCAGTGTTGAAGGCTACACTCTGCAATCTGGGAGAATGCTAATTGATTTTGGAGGTAGTTTATATGGAATGCTATGAAATCGGACGGTGACTTCTCTGTTATTTTATTTTCCAGAAAGGCAGCACATTCTGTTTTGCTCTCTCTGAAAACATAGGCCTGGAAGATGGATGGCCAAGGAATAATTTTGTTTCAAGTATAAAATGAAGTCATTAATTATCAGATAATATATATGTCCAAGAGTTGTAAACATCTTACTCTTGTTGCCCCCCCAAGCTGAGGGTAGCTTGGGTAGAAGAAAGTATAGTTTTGAGCAGGACTTGATCGCAGCATGTAGGTCTCTGAGATGCCCCCATTTTGGCTGCCTAATTAAACCTAATCACATTAGCACAGGCAAGTCATGAAGTGATTTGAAATTCTGCAGCTGTGTAATTTGAGAAAGGAGAGAAATGAACCATATTCATCTAGAGGGGCTTCATCATAATAAGCCGTAATCATAAAAGTAGCAGATGTTCTTCCAAAATTGGTTCCTCCGTGGTACTGTATCAAACCCATAATTTAAACTAGAGAACACATTTACGGCTTATTTTATTTATAGAGCAGAGCAAACAGCCGTAACTCATACCATGTAGTAGTTGACATAGCTTCCCTTCTTTGCAACGAACAAGGCAACATTATACGCAATATTTTCAGCTGATCTCAAGTACGGTTCATTACCAAAGGCTTGATAGCTTCAGATTTCCAAGTAAACTAAAGGGCATTAGTCAAGTTATATACTTTGGCGTCTATTTCAGTGGGATTGTAAACGGAAGGAAGAAATCCACTAGAACATACAAACTTGTCCAGTTCTCTGTCCAGATTGAAGGTTTATGAGGCGAGTTAGGTCCCTTGAATGTTCTCCCACATTCCATACCATTGCACGCGTTGATCTACCAGAGTACATTGATCATATAATTATTAGTCAAGTTGTCAATATCTATACAGTGAATTTGTGATTAAATCCATGAAAACGAGACTGTGGAACGAACCACCGGATCAGGAGCATCATCTTGCTTGCACATAACCCAGGGCACACCAGTGTGAAGCCCCACGACCATTTGTGCTGCCCAATGAACATAGCGTGGTCCTCCCTCGTGAAAAGCCGGTTCAATCGTGCCATACTCGTTCTCGATCTGCATTGTATGGAACATTCAAATTCACGTAGGCAGAAAAATGGCACAAGCATGTGATATTAACTAACAGTCAAGTTTTATTCTGGCAAAGCTTCAAACCTGTGACAGTATGATAGGCCCTCCT